TATAATAGATATCAGAAAGCTTTCATTTCATTGTGACGACATGCATAATTGATAACTGCCTTGTATTGGCAACAAAAGTGTTAATTAAATGAGGCAGGCATGTGAGCTGTTAGCTACATCTTTGCGTAATGGCTAAAATTACACAATAACGTCATCAACTGGCATGCTGCTGCTCATCGTTGTACATATATGTCTACCTACAAAAGATTTGTATATAAATAGAAATGTACATGTATGCATAATAGATACTAAGCTCTAATATATACATATATATACTATAAATTTGAAATTTAGCTATACATTCTGTTTGCCAAAAAACAAAAGCAAACTCAAAGAACGAATTTGCCAACTGAAGCTACCAGGCTGTCAAACAGCGTCGGTAAATATTTTTTATTTGCTTGTGCCACTGCCAACAGCTGTGACACCTCATCAAATTACTTACAGTTGATGGAATTGGCATTGCATGACGCTGTTGGGGCGATCGATATGTTTCCACACGCATACCAATGCATGAATGTTATTGCATATATAACATATATGCTTTATGAGTGAATATTATATTATAATTTAGTATAACATGTTTACCGTTAACTTCAATGACCATTTACCACTTCAGCGTTATTTGCAGCGCCTACGATATAAGCACATACATACATTTCTTCTTTTAAACTAGGTTGAACATGTCTGCTTTTCAAATCATAGTAATTTTATTGGTTGTAATTACATTGTCCAGTCGTTATGCTGTGGGTGGGACCGCTTACTGCTAATGACAATAGCAACAATTTACTCAAATTGCATTTGCATGTCGAATGCCGTTTTATCATTTCACATGCTATGCTTCATGAAATCGGTTCTGGATCAGAACCTTTTATTACTGACAAACTGTCATGCGATCTCTAATATATATTACATGGAATTAATGTCCCATACGACCTACCAGAAAATTTTGCTTGAGATCATCACCGATTATATAATTAGCTTCTAAATTTCAGGAAATTAATGTCCCATACTGATCTATCAGAAAATTTATATTGCCCGATTTATCACTCCCATTATCTAAGAGGACTCTTTAGTTTCAGTAAACCAATGTCTTATACTGACCTACCAGAATTATTCTCTTGCAATCTCCTTCGATTATATAAAAACATCGGATTACCAACGCTTGGGAACGACGTGTGAGACACTGATTTGCGCCTTCACCACACCACCGGCACTTCTTTGTCTCAAAGTGGATTCAAATTTTTCCATTAGACGCTCAGTTGTTGGTCTGACGATTATGACGACCATAAATTGGACGTAACGCTCTTAAAGTGGTCGCCACTGACTCCAAATTTCGGTAGTAAATTTTAATAATTTGAACTCGTTGTTGGATCGTATATCTTTCCATGATGAAACGGCAATCCTTACTGAAGAGAAACGTCAAAAGAGCGGAAAAAATATGACGTGATTGCTGTCTCTATCGGTCTACTTCCCTATTGAAAAAATTCGTTATAAAAGTCTCCCATGTAATAAAAGTAAATCTCGATTAACACTCAACGCATAATCTGTCACAAATTGTATAGATCCTTATGACAACTCTGGTTCATTTTATAAATATATGTTCTCCAAAATAATTTTATTTTTATACACTTTTATAATTAATTTGATGTAGTTAAAATTACCAATATGTAGCTTCTGCTGTCAGCTGTCATATATGTGGCAACTGTCACTTATGTAGTGAGCTGTCGCATAGCTGCCAACTGTCAGACGAAATTCGAAATTCTTTATCATTAATGTTACTGTCGCGGACACAGAGCTTTAAACCATTGTCAGTAGTAAGCTGTCAGTTATGCTGTCAACTATTCCGTACTTCAACTATTCACTACTCTGATATTCCCAAAGAAAAGTACATGTACTAGTTTACTATATATTTTTTCATTCCTAATAATCTCAAATGGAAATATATTTCTATATATTTTCTATCAGTTTGGAAAATATAATATTTATTGATATACTTTATTAAATTTGTAAATATTATATTATTATTTTCAAAGCTTTCGTGCGCGCGAAATTAACTTTTACTACGTGCACCGGAGCCAACTATTTGACATATAGGCGGATATGTGGCATATATATATATATAATATATATATTACCATACACTCCTATATAAAGGTATCCACAAAACTACCCACAAATACTTATATCCTTAAATTGTCTGCAAAATTGTGCAGCACTCAGCTAACAGCTGACTTGTTGCCGCGACGTCAAGCGCCAGTTAAGTGATATTTTCGAAACAAAGCGCCCAAAAGTATTCGACTTCCGCCAACTTCTCTCCTTAAGGCACATAAAACAACTAGCTGTAGCATAACAACAGGCGTGTAGGCACATTTCAAATATTCTTGCACAAAAAGTGGTATGGAAACTTGCGCTATCATAAATGCTGCGCTGCAAAGCAAAGTTTATGGTCGTGGGAGAACCACGACGTGGGAGTCCTTTACGTCGAGCAAAAGTGAAAGGCGAAAGTATGCAAAGATGCAAAGTTCAAACAACAGCGCATAGTTGACTTTTAGGCGCTTATATAAATAAATAGAATTTGCGTGCGCGTTTGCGCCTAAAAATAGACTTCGCTAGTTTGCATTTAGTACGGCTGCGATGCATGAAAACGTTCTTTGCGTCATAAGCAGGTGTGACTAAATGCGCTGGCAGGAATTTTAATTACTTTTACAAGTTTTTAAATGCGGGTTTAGTGTGATGTCGGTGGAAAAATAAAGAAATATGTGCAAGTAGAACTATTTTTTGTAAACTTAATTTATATTATTAGATATTTGAAAGAAAGTATGGCTTGGTTGTTAAGGAAGTATGACTAAGTTGTTTAAGCAGTGCTTTATATGAATATATGCTTTATCTTATGTATAGAAGATGCAGTGTCTTTAATGTCGGTATATATGTATACATTGTCTAATTATGACTTTCTTAATCGATTAAGTTAGTTCGACATTTTCTGGAAATCATTTTGAGGAATAATTCGAATTTTTGTCCACATATATATGTATACTATACTATAATTATCACAAAGCCATTCATACTCATTTACTTATAAAACCACCGACTGAAAGTCCGCATCACAAGGAATGCGGTAAAACAGTCGTTAGTGGTCGCTATGACTCGTCATCTGTTGAGAAAACGATTTAACAATTTTAGTCACCCATTAACTCTGGAACTCCTCTACCACTAACAATTAAATTTAGTTCATAACATAATCCCGACATTCTTTTGTTACATTATGAGAATGAACGCAATCGCGCTACAGCCACGCCTACTGCCCATATATCACAAGATTAATTTTCAATTGATTCTTTCAATTTACATTAGATAAACCACACTCAGACTGATCGTCCGTATCATCATCTGTTGAGAAAAGGATTTAACAAGGTTAGTCACCATATAACTAGAATTGGCTCTCTCTGACTTTAAGGTGACCTTTGCTAACTCGGGAACCTCTCGACCAGTAACAAATAAATTTGATTCGCAACATAATCCCGACATTCTTAGGTTACATTATGAAAATGCCCGCAATCGCACGACAGCCACGCCTTTTCCACGTAACCAAGCACCTGCGCAGACATCCATTCAAAACTTCACACACATAGCCTTTGCAAGATATGCCATCTTTTAGCAAAAAATTTCCGACCATTTGATTGGCATCGAAATTTTTGAGAACCCCAGATACCGAATATGTAGATCACAGTGCCTATGTCTGACTTTGTACTGCAAACTTTGAAATATATTAATGAAACTAAAGCCCGCCCCCCCCTATACCTGATAAATAATGTGCCTTTGTGTCAAAAATAGCTAAAATCGGGACAGTAGTCCCCTAGCCCCCATATACCTAAAATACAAATTTTTGAAATTAACGGTTACTTTATAGGGTATATATCGGTCAATTAGTGGTTTATTTTGAAAAAAATGGTATGACACTCTCCTATTATAATTGGCAATATTTTTGTAGGTGCGGTTTTCACAACAATCCTAATCGATGACGGTACTCTTCACAACCCTCACATCCTTCGCATAATGCAAATTTTGCAGCGTAGGCCCTTAATGGCTTTCACTGCAAACTGTGTAGGCATTTCTGCTTTACTCCATATACCGAGTGACGAAGCCTTTAATTATTGCTACAAAAGCCGTTATTTAACACTTAATGGCTGGCACTGTTCATACTCGTATTGATAATTGTAGGCGTTGAAAATTGCTGCACGGTCTCCGTTCGCTGAGAAAACATTAAAGGAGCGTTAGTTGTTATTGTTTTTCATTACATTACTTTACAATTATTTCATAATTAAATTTTTATTTTTGAATAATGCCGGTAAATCTTATTCTTACATACGTTCAATTCTACGCCCGCACTGTTTTCCACCACGCGCTTCTACACATCATTGCCTATCTCGATACCTCTTTCTTGCTTACGTAGGACACTCAGCGCCTGGCAGATCTTACATATGTGCATTCTTTTAGTGGCAACATAATATCTAAACCTTGTACCACATATGCCCATCCATCTACTTCAATCTTCACCTCTCTTTCTCTCCTCTTAACTCTTTTACTCTTTTCATCAGCGTTCTTGGGCAATTTGCTCTGTCATTCAGCCGCAATTTATAGTCGTCTCTGCGACACAATCTCACACCACATCTTCCATACTTCACATGTTTGTGTGGGGTCTGTGTACCTAGGTGTATTCTTTCCCTTGCAAACTTTCGCTGCAAATTTTCGCTTGAATAATTGTTGATCCTTTGCATATGCAGGCGGGTGCCCCCAATTGTTTGCATTTAATCCTCATGGGTGTAATTTGATATGCTCCACTTTGTATGCAAGTTTTTGCACAAACTTCGGTTGAAGGTTACAGCATAAATTTGCAAAGCTTTTCGTGTGTGTTCGGCTTTTGTATTTCTTCTTAGCTTTCAAGTCAATTTTGCAACGAACTTAATTTTCTAAAGTGTGTTTTCTTTTATCCCTTACAGGCATTCAATTGTGCATCTCAGAGACATATTAACATGCATACAACCACAACATTGCGGAAATGGTGAGTAACTGGAAAAATTGCCTATATTTTAAACAATTTATATATAACATACTTAGTTTGGTTAGTTGATAAAGTCTTATTTTCTGATATTTATGGGATTGGGACCAAACTGGACCGTCTTGGATAGTAGATCTGCTCAGAAGTGATGCTCATTTTTTAATAAACCTTTATTTTGCTCTGAACAGATATCCCCATCTGTTGAGCTTATTTGTTGAAACCAATAAATACCGATTGATCATAATCCCGCCCTTTTATGAAGAACTTTTTTATTGAACGAGATTTCTTCATGAAATTCTTCAAAGTTTTTTGCCCAAGGCAACCCTATAATGTACCAACATATTGTTCAGATTGGATGTATGCTATAGCTGACATACAAAATGCGTTATCAAAATCAAGTTAAAAATCCTTTCATATACTATACATACATATATTATTTTATGAAATTAAAACCTTGAAAGGTGGCAATCTCTGTGAAAATTTAAAATAAAAGGTTATAAATAAATAAAATTAATTTATGAAAAAGGAGTCCTACGATAGCTTTGTATAATAAAGTTAAACATTTATTTGAGGATAGAGAGTTACCACCTGTTTGAATTAGTAGATTTTATTGGCATATATCTTATGAAGTTCTAGAAACTTTTAAAAGTTTTCAGATTGACTTCAGCGCAAATTTTTTTGTTTTACCACCTTTTTAATATTTAAATTTTAATGATATTTATAATAGTTTGTTTTTGCGATTTTAGAAACTTTAAAAAGTCTTTCGATAGTTTTGCATAGTAGAGTTAAAAAGTTGTTTGTAGATTGAGAGTTTCCAGCTGTTTAAAATTATGAGGTTTTCCGAAGTTTTAAGATTGATTTAAGTTCAAAATTTTTTTTGGGGTTGCCACCTGTTTAAAAATTAAATTTTAATGAAACAAATTTTACTAAGTATAAAAACTTTAGTCTTAAAAAGAGAGACAAAATATTTTTAAAGTTGCCACTTGCTAAATTTTTTTTTTTTCTATCAAATGGATGGAATGTTGGGATAAGAACATCAAACTCAAAGCCTAAAAAATTAAAAATTTAAATTTTTTAATTTAATAGGGATTTGTAATCTCTTATTTTTAAAAAATCGTTCGAGTTTACAACTTTTTAGTTCTGCCACTTGTTTAATTCTTTTCATCAAAAATCTTTATATCAATGTATGTATGTATGTATATTTAATATATCAATAGTCTTCGTTCGTTTTTAATTTAAATTTTGTTTACCCGTTGAAATATTCAATTGAAAAAAGTAACTTGATTTGAAATTAATTAAATTATAATTAAACCCCAAAATCATTATTTGCAGTTTTATGTGAATGGCGCTTCATTAGAACCCCCGAAATGACTACTCATGCAGACATATGTATTATAAACCCATAAAGACTTACACTCACACAAAATTAAAAACACCGGCGATATTCCATCTAAATCTGCCACTAATTACAAACTGAATGAGTGGGTATTAAAAAGGCAGCTATGCAAATAAATAACTGATGAACTTTGTGACAAAAAATAATTATTATTGCATAGAGTTGAAACGGGATTTTGTAGCTTAAAGGTTAGTAATTGCGCTTTTTGTATACATTATTAATTTATTTTTGGATTTCTCAATATACTATGTGAACCAACTTCCAACAACAACCACAAGTTTATAGTTAGACAAATAATTAGCGCTTGATTTCAAAGCTAGCCACGCTATGTAGGTGCTTTACTTTCCTACCAATCCAGCAATATTAAATAATTTATTGTACAAATAAATAAAAATATGGCAATATTTCGTCATATGTCGTAGTACTTAGTTCACACCTATAAAATCAATAAAGCAAAGCGTTGCCAGTGACTAGAGCCAGTACACGGTACTAAGGCTATGTACACAGTGGAGTTAAGAGCTTAAGACCGATTTTAGTGTTTAAAGCTGATGCTTAGTAAAAAATGAATTGTTTTAAATGCAGTGTTCTAAATTGTGAACTATTTTTTTTAAGTTTTTGAGTTATGCACTGCAGAGTTGCCACCTATTTTGTTTTTGCAATTTAAAAAAGTTTTTTTATAGTATGTTATGTTTAATGCAAAGTTTCAAATTGTGATTTTTTCGTAGAGTTGTCACCTATTTAATTTGTCGTATTACAAAAAAAAGTTGTTTGATCGTTTGTTATGCTTAATGTAACATTTCAAACTATGAGTTACTTTTTTTTTTTGTAAGTTTTTGCATTATTCACTGCACAGTTGCCATCTATTTTGTTTTTCTAATTAAAAAAAAAATTATAATTTTTTCATCATAGTAATGATTTGTGTAAAAAAGCTAAAAAAACAAAGAAGTGTTAAACAGATTTGTCACTTTTTATATTTATAAATATCATTTTTTAGAAGATTGTTTGTTTTAATACTAAAATGTTAATTCTATAGCAATAAAAAATATAAAATGTTAAAAAGTATTTAACGTTGCCAATTGTAATAAATATAGTTTGTGTAAAAACTTAAGCTAGATTTATACATTATCAAAACTAACTAATATTTAAGGTCACTGGTCCACACCAAGCTTTTGAGTTTTTAATTACAGCGTTGCCACCTATTCTGCATTTCTAATTTTAAAAAATTTAAATTTTCTTCATGATATTAAGACAAGGTGTAGAATAATATGAAATACAAAAATAATGTTCAACAGAGTTGCCACTTGTTTATATTTTTAAACAATACATTTTTTTGGGTTTAAATGTTTGATTTCTAACTATACTGTTATGACTACAGCAATACAAAATATGAAATAAGAAAGTCAAACAGGGTTGCCACTTGTTTATATTTTGAATCCATAAATTTTTTGGGGGTGTCCCTAAAAGCTAAAGTGTTATTATTATAGCAAAAAAATATGAGAGATTAAAAAATATTTAACAGAGTTGCCACTTATCTCAATTTAATTTAAACAATACTTTTTTGTGTATTTAAAAGTTTAATTTACTACTAAATCGTTGTTTCTATGTAATAAAAAAATATATAGTGAACAATTATTGAACAATTATTGGAGTTGCCACTTTTACAATTTGTTTGGATGCCTAAAAAAGATGTCTACGAAAATTTTAGCAATAATAAACCAAAAACAAATATTGCTCATAGCAACAGATTATTTAACATTTAACTAACTATACCACAAATAATTGAATCCACCTAAATATTACACATTAAATCATATGCAAGGTCACACTAATAAAAATGCAGTCATATTTATGCTCTCTAAACCAAGGGTTTTTCCAACAAACCAATTAACAGCACACACAAGTCGCCAGCGCAGTCGCCCCAACACCAACTTACCGGCTCACACATTGGCAGTGGCCATTACAAAACGCATCAAGCTACTTCAGCAACGCTCTAAGCACATTTACAGCTTAAGATACGAGCGTTGTGAAAGTGCTGCCGGCAGGCCCTTAATGTTGTCGCAGCGCACAGTTGTTGTACATACCCATGCGTTGCACAAATTCGAGACGACAACTGACTAAGCAACTAGCTATGCTTTGATGATTTGATGGTTCAATGTGGACCAAGCGTAGATTGTGTTGACCTTGACAAGTGAGGCGTTAATAAATTTCACAACTTATGACAGTTAGGCAAAAAGACGCAACAAAGAGAGTGTGTTTGAATTATGCGAAGGGAGCACAGAGTGAGAGCTGTGTAGGTTGGGGTTTGCAATATATGGAGGAAACTTTGTTCATGTGTTTGTATGAAGATATATGAATTGTCAGTTAAATTTTGTCATAAAAGTGCTAGGAATTGCTTGAAGATGCCATAAAAATATAAATTTATAGCTCATAAAGACATCCCTGATTTTCTGCGCGTTTTCCTCAAGTGAATTGTCTCATTTGTGCGCTAATAAAATACCACTTTAAATTATATGACAATAATATAGTATTCCAACTAATATGAATTCCACTCGTAGGCAGAGATAACAGTAAAAACCACCAATTAAAAATAGTACGATTGAATACTTTTATTTACACCTCAATATATCCGTTTCCTGTTACAGAAAAAAACACCTAACCTACCAATTATCATATAAATTCTTAATTACAAATTTCCACTTAAATTATTTAATTAGTTATAAATTCACCGGAACTTCACCTCACACAAAGCTTACATTTCCGTTGTTAACACTTGTTGTTTAAACACTTAACACCTTTTGAGTATTCCATAAATACATATACTAGCTTACCTCATATAATAAATATAAACAAATAAACCCGCAAATTTCTTAGAAATTATCAACAAGCTACAAGCTGTTATTGACGGGAAAGACATTCTGATTGCTTATCTAAAAATGTATCAGTTTTGAAGTTTCCAAGCTCCTTATCGATTTTATAGATCCATTTAAACTATAAATATTAGCTTAATTATAGCATTTTGCTTGCCTAGCATGAAAACCAATTTTTGCCAAGATAATGTGCGGTAAACTGTTGCAGACCTGGCAGAAAATTATATTATGAAATTTTGTGATAAAATAAAAATCTATAATTGTACATATCTGTTTAGGTAAATAAACTCTAGAAAACTACAGCTGTCATATTACTGATCATATTCTCAAAAGAACTTATAAACCTCTTGTTATAAGTTGTTATTGTTGCCTACCTACTGGCGCGCAACAGAAGTTCGAACAAAAAAAAGCGCGAAGCTTAACACTTTGTGCTTAGCAAGAATTTCATCCCTTTTGATAAAATATGTAAAATATAAGAATTTTCGGTTACTCTACAATAATTTAATTTTTTTAATTCCATTTTGTAAAATATGAGGCTTTTTATTATTGTTGCCTACCTTTTGGCGCTCATCAACAGTTTGAGCAAATGAAAAAGCGAGCAGTTTAAGTTAAATACTTTGAGCTTATCACAAATTTAGCATTTTTCAATATGTAAAACAGAAGACTTTTTGGTTATCCTACAATAATTTAATCTTTTTAATCCATTTGCTAAAATATGAGATCTTTTATCGTTGTTGCCT